CAAATTGAAATTCTTTTAGGCAGGATTAGAGTAAATTAATCTATGAGACCTTGGGTTTGACCTCCTGGGTCCAAAACTGTAATTAGATCTCAAATTGGTCAAGAGATGATGGAGCTATGAGCTAAAAGTTTGTATTTGATAAAAAAAAACTCAGAGCCATTCTATGAGCCACTATACAGTGGCTAAGAATGACATATTTATTTTATATTTAAGCGTTTTTTGATTAGGCAAGATCAAGTAAATTCCAGCTTGTTTCTTTGCTTTTGTTTATGTTTTTACAAATTTTGGTATGATATAAAATCACTAATATAGTGAAATATGTTTCCTTATTTCAAAAGAATGTGGATAAGCACTATGAATTGTCTGCGATATGGAAAACATGTTTCAACCTAGAATTGCTTGATATGTGGACTCTATTGGCTTTTCCAATACATCTTTCTGAACAATATATACCAAATTGTTCCCTGATAATATATAAATCACAAAAAAGATTAAAATACCATCAATATTGCAATTACCCTCACTAATTACTGCTTGGATCTCCTAGATATTTTACATAGAAAATGAGTGATTTCACTAATTGGCTGGACAGATTGCAAGAGGTAAAAACATGATACAGTATATTGTTGAAACGTGACTACAAGGGAAGAAGAAAATTATTTGTGTTTGATCAGGCCTGGCTCAAGCGAGCTAGTTGAATGGAGTTGTTTGATTCAGGTATTCAAGTTAGTTAAGAAAGTAGAAAAATGTAGTTTGATGCTTTAGGTTATTTGAAAAGCTTTGAAATTTGCAAAGATTTTTTTTTACACAAAACGACTTCCATTATATGATTTATTTTGTGGAATTTCCTCTCTATGTGACATTACTGTTGGTTCTTTCATAGCTATCATCATTTTTTTTAGCAGTGTTGATTATTAATCTCAATGAGTCTTCTGTTCTTCATTTATTTTGCATAATTTTCATTGTATATATTTTTTTTGTTTTACTATTGGTACTTAAAAAACGTAGTACATTAGTTTATAAGTTTATCATTGAAAGTTTTTTTTTTTTAGTCAACAGAATTAAATAAATTATTCTTACTTAAGTTTTTATTTCCCTATAAAGAAAGAAGTTACTTTGTTCAAGAAGCAAGAAATGATAAGAAGGGTACAACGACATCCTTTTGATAAGAGTTCTCCTGAAGTGCAAAGTCAGTTCTAGTCTTTCATATATTACCTAAGTGGTTCTATGTACTATTCTTATAACAGTAAAATAAAAGAAATTATAACCTAATAATAATTTTTTTATATTATTACTTTTTGTCTTTCTCAAGTTGAAAACCAGAATATGGGTAAAATTAGGTAGTGACTTGTATTTATTTAGTTGTTGTTATTTTGAATTAAATATGACATCTATAAGCCACAATTAGAGAAGAATATTTTGATAAGATTATTATCAGCCACTAATTAAAATTAACAATTTATAGTTAGCATGCTTTATATTTTATGGTATATGAATCATGTTCTGTATGTCTGTGTTGGTTTTTTCTGTAATAGTTATATAAATTCTCTTCATCTAGTTGCTGAAAAGACCTACAAAGTGAGGAGCTTGCAAGAACATGTTAGAGCCAACCACAAAGTAATTTCTTGATACACTACCTTACTTTTCTGAGCTTTAAATGCTTCAGAGTATTATACTTGTGTCCCTTATTATTTGTCAAGCATTCAACAAAGCAAGTTTTTGAATTTTTATGTCAACTGTTTATTTTCAATGACATTGAAACAAAGGAATTATATCTTATTGATTTTATTGTATTACTGGAGTTAACATGTTGCCTTTCAGAAAACATCTGTTACTTTTTTATCTTTGAAATTATAAATAACTATCTCTATAGAACATTTAAAACAAGCATTAACTTCTTTTTCCATGAAATCAAATCTCCTTGCAGTCAGAGATGTCTAGATGATTGCCTCCTGTGGTAAAGTTTTTCTTTAAGGCCTGTTGTGGGATTTTTCCTATCTATTATCAGACTTCTTGCTTTTCACTTAACAGTTAATGTGAACTAAAAATGCATGTCTTTATTGAAAAAATATTGTTAGAACTAAAATATGAGCACACAGTTTTTCTGTCTTGCATGGGTTGTTCATCAAGAGCTAAGACATATTTTAGTAAGGTTTTATTTCCCAGGATCTTGTCTTGCCATTTTCTGTCTGTTCAATTATTTTTTTCTTCTGTATATTACAGTGATATTATTAGTTAATACTAGTCTTTTTCCCTTCAAGTAAAGTAGAACTTGCAGAGAATACCAAGTACAGAACATGATTACATTTGTCAAAGGGTTTAAGTATCAGTTCTGTCAAATGCAAAGAAGTATTGTTTATGAATTTCAGTTTAGTTTTGATGTCTTATTTTCATGTTAATAAAACATTCCTCAAATCGTGGACAACACAGAAATTTAATTGAATCATATTTAAGTGATGTTTAAATGCATAAGTTGATATAATTTAATAACAACCTTTTTATTTGTTGTGTTGTGCATTTACTTTAAATTAGGGTAAGAACAACAGTGAGATAAAAGTTCTATGAAATGGTCCTGTCGTGCAGTGTTTCCTAAACTGTAGTGTGTATACCCCAAGTAAATGTGAACCATTGATGGTATGTGAAAGTAATTGAACAAAAAATACTAGTAATGGCAAAGATTATGGTTAGAATGAGGGGGATTGCAAACTACTGCTGTAGAATAATCTGGAAAATTTTATTTGCTTTGCATAATACTTCACAACACCTTTGGTAGCTGACTATGTACTGCTTAAGCATGCTTAACTTGATGGGAAGTGTTTTGAATTGGATGATTGTATCATTGCCTGACTTTACACTTCATGAAACTTCTTTTTATTTTTAAGTAGTTTAGAACTTTCAACACTGTAGAGTAAATCTGAATGTTACATTTAATTTTTTTAGGATAAAACTGCAAAGGTGAGCCTGCTTCATGCAGTACATCGTCGTAACAAGATGTTGAAAGAACTGAGAAAGATGGACTACCTACGCTTTAGTTGGCTGCTACATGAGTTGCAAATTGTATACAAACCTTCACCACTTAATTATGTACCACCAAAAGTGACACGAAAAGGGGAGCTGCGAAGGCTTATTACAGAATATTGTGAAAATATGAAACAAGAAAAACTAAAAAACTATCGTGAAGAGCTGGAAAAACAACAAGAGCTATTTATTAAAGAAAAACAAGAGGCTCTCAGTTGGTTTGAAAAAGAGAAAAAAGCTTGTAAGTTGAGTACAGATGAAAATGCCAAAACATAAGAACACTTGATAGGTTTTTTATTACAAACAGTTGCTGTCTAGTTTCTTTGCATGTTTTATTAAAGTATTAATTTCAATATGTGAAAACTTTCTGTAATTCTTTTACACTAAGATCACAGTTGTTGTTTTTTTATTTATATGTTTCTCTAATCTAAGGCTAACATCTTGTTGTAAACCTTTTGTTTGTGCTTTGGAAGCCAATCAACACCCCTAAAAGCATCGTATCACAGAAATAACTTGATCTTAAATTTTTGTAGCTTTAACATTTAAAAACACTTGGTTTTTGTCCCTCTAAATAAACTTTGTAAAATCACAGATGTGTTCCAAAGAGTAAGATCCGTTGAATACAATATAAACATTGCAATTTCAAACAGTGTTTCTAGAAACTAAATTCAATCTTCATACAAATTACAAGAAACAACTTCACGTATCTGTTGTGTATGGGAGTTTTTCCAACAATGGCAAAGGAATCTTTTTTTTTTTTAATCGGGAAAAAGTAAATTAGCATTGTAGCACAATAAAAATAAAGGAATACACTGAGCTTTTTTCCTTTTATTCAAATATTTGCTTAACTTTTATTCCAGATAAATTAGAACATTTTATCAAGCATCACTGGGAATTATTGTGTTCTTTGATTAGGTTTGAAGTGAGCATAGAAGTATTCTTATTGAAAAGTGAGAAATGTTACTGAGAAACATGAATATATATGCAATTAAGTAAATTATAAATATATAGAGAAACAGAGTGAGTACTAAACTTGCTTCAAATGGAAAAACTTGAACACTAAATTGTATTTCAATAGATATTTAATATATATTTGGTGTAAAACCAGAGTGAGTGAATTTAAAAAATCGTTTATAGATGAACAACTATCATTAATGTGTTTAATTCAAAATGGTTATTGTTAATAATGATAGGACACCCTAATTCTAAGATACATTTCACACAAACTATAAAAATATGCATGTAATATCATCAGCACAGTTACAATTAGTTTACTTAATAAAATGTTCTTTGATCATTGCTGTTAAAGATGGATAAATGTTACATCCTATAAGAATACAGTAGCAAACGTTTGTGAAAATAAGAAACTGTTTCTTGATTCTTTTCTACCTCTGGGTGGTAATGGTTTTGTCTTATGTCAACAAATGTGTGTGTTACATGTGATTGTATTGATGCGATGATATTATATAGCAGCATAAGACTAAGATAACAGCTAGAAAACCAATATTATATATTCGTTCATAGTATACAGACCTTGGTTAATTTGGGCAATTCGGGCCTAAATTTGTGGTTAACTTTGCTTTCAAGGTTGTCATCTGTCCACCATTTGATTGTTATTGCACTTGCTCTTGAAGGAGAGAGCATGGATAATTAATATACAGAATAATATGAATATTCATGAAGGCTATGCCTTATATAGAGTTTGAATTGTCAAGAATGTGCTTTGAAATATCAACTTGGGTTAAGGTTAAGTCTAGTAATAAAATTCAGTTTAATTTTTGCTTAAAAAGTTTGAAACTTTCCTTAATGATGTGGATTTGATGATTTATCTGTATATGTTGTTCAGATTTGGAATGATTGTTGTATTTGATATGTTTATGATTTGCGTGATATCTTACAGCCACCGATTAAACCAGAACAAACCAGTCCCTCAAATATGAGGCCTTTTCTGGAATCTCCTGGCACATTTGCTCTATGTGTTATTATTGGCATTTGACTTGCAGGTCTAGGTGCATTTTTTTACAATTCGTAATAATGATGATGTTATGTGAATATATCTTATTTAAAGACAAACAATCATTTGTTGCTCCAGATCAATCCAAAATACCACCTTCCTAAAAATGAAACTTTGTTCAGGTTAAATAGATGGGAAATGAATGTCATGTGGTTTCTATGAACATTACCAAATTACTTCAATTTTAAAATAATTCGAATGAAAACCCCTTGTTCATGGGCACCTATATATTGTTATATTACAGTCTAGTTATTTTTTAAAAGGGAGGTGTATTAATTAAGATTATAAATTATTTTTATTACTCACTTCTGTTGTTATGCAGTTTTACCATTTTTTACATTTACGTGAAGTGCAAGTTCAAATAAAATGGAAAAATACACCCCAGCTAGATTATAGATCACCATGTCTTTCATTTCGTATTTTTTTCCTCATAAATAAAAAACTTAATTATTAGTCTGATAAACAGATGGCGCTATAGGATTTTTGTATTAGTATATCTTGGATGAAACGCTCTTGCCAAAATATTTGAACAAGTAGGAAGTATATATTTTATGTGGGTAGTTAATAAGAAATTTTTTATAACATTAAGGGCGTTTACTAACCCCCTGGTAAATCGGAAGTGTGTGAAAATGATTCAGGCCACTAGCCTCGTAAGATTGTGGGTTGTCGTGTAGGAGGTGATCGAGGGTTCAGAATGTTCCGCCCAAAATGTTACTACTAACCAAGTTTCTTGAAAAGAATGCATATCCTGGGTGTCGGAGAGTATTCTACACGTGGGGTTGAATGAGAGGAAGCCAAAAGTCAGGATACACCCAAGTAATTATCCAGCCCATGGATTTATACACAAGATTTCAACGATTCAATCCAGTCAAAATGATACCTGGTTCTTCAAATCATCACATAATAAAATATTTACGTTCAACTTCACATAAAGAATAATACACATTTGTCACTAGTAGAAATGGACATTTTAAAGAAAAATAAATCCCTGTAGAAGGCATGAACTGTAATATGGTACAGAAGAAAGTTAAATAGGAAAAAAAAAAAGGCGTCAGGGAGATTTCGACTCCCGCGGCCAATGTGAGATTTTAATCTACATCAAAACAATTATGTGGGATTGAATTAAATAACCCCTTGTACCAAAAATAATTATTATTGGAGCCACATGTGAGACTTGTACGACTAGAAGACTTGCGATCGTTTGAAAATTACCCCTTTCGTATTTCAGAGCAGAATATGGAAGAGAATGTTTTTTATGAAAAGATTTTCAAGCGGAAAACACGACCGATGCCTCTTGGTAACACGGTTAAAGTTTATTACTTTTTAAATTGCATTCATTACGTTAAACTTTTCTTAAAGAATAACGTTTCAATAAGCATGCGATAACTCTTTTTTTTCTTCTTCTTCTTTTCTATCACCAAGAAGGAATGAAACCCTTCGAGGATTATACACCTAAAAACCGGGTTTCGATACTCCTAATGGGCAGGGCACAGATATCACTTTGTGTAGCTTTGCGCTTAACAACAAACAATAACAACCCTTCTAGGTTGAAAATATTGTTTACAGTAGGTAAAAGACTGCATTATCAAAAAGAGTCCAATGTATAACTTAGTTCTTATCACACTTTCCATAACGTAAGCAGAACACCAATTCCAATGGAAAGAAGGTGTGTAAAATTACAAATTTAGACAAGTAACTGAAATTAGATCGTTTACTTTACAATTAGTGTCTAACCTTAAAAGATTCATCTCTTGTCTGTTCACGACACTAACTTGCCTTCTTATACGAAGAAATAAGTGAAACTATGACATAATACTGTAAATAAATGTGTTCACACAAAATAATGTCGAAGTCAAAAATCCTGGGAAACATCAGGCACACTATATTTTCTTTCATTTTTAATGAACCAATTATCGTGTTTTCAATTGACAAAGACATTCACAAGATATACAAATATTCTTGTCGCTACAACTGCAAAAATATTTCATCAAAAATAATGAAAATATTAGGTTCACCTTGTTTCTCATTCCGTGTGGTTTTGTTTGGTTTGGTTTGAATTTCGCGCAAAGCTACACGAGGGATATCTGCGCTAGCCGTCGCTAATTTAGCAGTGTAAGACTAGAGGGAAGGCAGCTACTCATCACCACCCACCGCCAACTCTTGGGCTACTCTTTTACCAACGAATAGTGGGATTGACCGTCACATTATAACGCACCCACGACTGAAAGGGCGAGCATGTTTGGTGTGACGGGAATTCGAACCCGCGACCCTCATATTGCGAGTCGAGCGCCCTAACCACCTGGCCATGCCGGGCCCATTCCGTGTGGTAGAAGTAATTTATTCTTGTTTGTTTTTTGTCTCTCACTCAGTGAAAAATTACGTGCTTACAAATATTTTAGTTTAGAACTATGCCAAACACATTCCTCACCAGCGTTATATGAACAGACAACTAATATTCTATTGTCCAACTGAAAAATTCGCCTATTTCCCACAAATTATGCGATCAAACACATGTATTTCCAACGTGGAATTCTAAGATTCACTGATTTCACTTCGAGTAATCGGGTAGGAGCTACAGCATAACAAGAGGTTTGCCAGAAAATATGAAGAAAAGCGAAATTCTCTGATCTCGACTGAGTTCGAAAAAATGAAGGAAACTGGACACAAGGAACAACATTGTATTCTCAATAATCAAAGTTTGAAAACAATTTTATCTTTTGGGCGCCTTTATTAGAGAGCCATCAGACAAGAGGTGTGTTATCCAGACTGAGAAAACATGGTATTATAAACTTAAAACAACATTGCCGTTCTTTTCCACGCGCAGGCGCTTCCCATGTAAACAAACGGTCCCCTCATTATAAAATAAAGATGTTGTATCCTTGAAAAATAACCTTACCTGCCAGTGAAAAAGCTCGCTGTTTATTTAGTATAGTGTGCCCCACTTTACAAGAATCTTTCCTACATGAAAATACAAGTGACACCTTAAATGAATGACATAGATCTGCGAGTAACTAGGGCAAGAGGAATTCAGTGGCTTTCTTAACTGATATTTTATATTAAACCTACACACTCAAAATCTAGAGTACTTTTTTATTATTATTGTTTGTTTTTGAATTTCGCGCAAAGCTACACGAGGGCTATCTGCGCTATCCGTCCCCAATTTAGCAGTGCAAGACTAGAGGGAAGGCAGCTAGTCATCACCACTCACCGCCAACTCTTGGACTATTCTTTTACCAATGAATAGTGGGATTGATTGTCACATTATAACGCCCCAAGGTTGAAAGGGCGAACATGTTTGGTGTGACGGGGATTCGAACCCGCATATTGCGTGTCGAGCTCCC